CACCGACCGTGAGTCCTGGGCCCGGCTTGGAGCGTGGAGCCCCCTGTAGCCTCCCTTCCCGGGGCGGGAACTCCGGCGACGGCTCGAGGAACGGCTGGGCCGCCCCGCGGCGAGAGTGGTGACCTCGCAGCGCCCAGCAGGGAGGAACCTGCCCTGTGCTCCCCCATGGGTCCCCTCTCTGGGGTCTCCATCCTTCTGCGAGAGGAGACGGACGCTCGAGGAGGCCTTCCGTGACTCCGGCGAGGGAGTCACGGCCCCTGGCCTCTCGTCTGCCCCTAGATGCGACAGTTAGGGAAAGGAGCCGTTTGTTTTCATTTGCGAGAAACGGGACTGGGGGTTAGTGCTCTGAACTCTGCCGGGAAGAGAACTCAGAGGAGGGAGACGACGGGCCGTTTGGCTTCCTGGAGGCCGCTTCCCCTGTTGGTCGGAGCGGCAGGAGGCCTGGGGGGCGCCCGACACCTGGAGGGGAGCCCTGGAATTGGAGCGCGAGTGAGCTGCGGACGGGGGATGACATCATGCTGTTAGGACGTCTAGGCAGGAGTGGCTGGGGCAGGGCGCGGGCCTGCGGGCGCCGTCCAATGGGAGAGCCCCGTTCCAAGTGGCACTTTCAGCAGCCTGTCACTCGAGCCTGTAAACCCACAGTCTCACGGCATGCACATCACTTTCAGCATCGCCCGGGAGACCCGCTGATGGAAGCGTAGGTGGTGGTCTGCGGGCATTGGGGCAAGTGTGGCTGCGAGGAAGCGCTGAGCTCCGTCTTTTGGTGGCGGATGAGACGTGACAAAGCTGACTTCGGTAGCAGGGAGGCTTGTTGACTGCAGTTGATGACTATCTGCCGTGCCTCGGGACCTCGCTGAGGGCGAGGCTGATGGCTGGCGTGATTGCAGCAGTGTTGAGGTCTAGCTTGTTAGAACATGGACTGTCTCGGACCCCAGGGACATCTCGGGTGTGCCAAAAGCGAGCTGCTGTTTTCTTTCTTTGCTAACAAACCGTTACTCTTGGGTGGGGAGGGATTTGGAAATAGACCAAGTCAGACCATTTTGTTGTTATGTGCCCTCGAGTCGGTCCGACTCATAGCGACCCCTCCTCCTTGGGTTTCCGAGGCGGTATCACTACGGAAGTAGATTGCCCCATCTTCCTTCTGAGGAGTGGCTGGTGGGTTTGAACCGCCAGCCTTCTGGTTAGCAGTCAAATGCCTTAGGCACTATGTGCTACCAGAGCTCCTAGTTAGACCATTAATGAACCCAAAAGCATTGTGATGGGGTTGAGATCCTACTTGTAGTGAGGGTAGGGCGGAGTGGAACGGCCCTGTAGGGTATGCAAGGTTGTAGTCTTTAGGGAAGTGGACTGCTTCAGTTTTCACCCGCCGAGTGGCTGGTGGGTTTTGATTACCAGCTGAGCACTTAACCACTGCAACACCAGGCTCCTCAGCCCATCCGTAGGACCCAAAGACTTTTCCCAGAAGGCTTTGTGTCCTGAGCGTTCGGCAGGGGTTTGGGAGTGCTTTGCTGCAGGTCAGGGAGCCCTGGGGGTGCAGTGTTTCAGGGCTCAGCTGGTAACTGAAAAGGGGGCAGCAGTCTGCTTCCCTGAGGATTAATGGCCTCAGAAACCCTGCGGGGCAGTTCCCTGGGGGGAAGTTGACTGCAGGACACACAGCAGCATTCTGTGGCTCAGGCCTTTCTCTCACCTCCTGCATTTTATTTGTGATCTGGGCAAGCACAAGACAGCACTTCAAAGGAAATGGTTTTCAGGAAGCCCCCTGGTGATGAATCTCAGTCTGTTGAGACTGATTCATGTTGAGTAACTTGTTCCTTCTATGATCCTCGCTGTGTGTCCTGAGAGTTTCATTAGAAAATGATAAGGGATATGTGTGTGTGTGTGTGTGTGTGTGTGTGTTTTGCTGGCTTAATGGTGAGAATAAAATTGACAAAAGTACTTACTTTTTCTTCTAAAAGGTGAAAAACCTGTTTGGATACTTAGAGAAATGTTGTAACCATTAGATCTTTTCCTGCAGCAAGTCATTTGTGATCCTTGTCTGCACACTGGGTCTGTGGGAAGGAGGCCAGCACTGAGCAGGGGCCAGGCGGTGAAGAAGACCTCACTGCTGTCCACTTGTGGCTTGTTCGGACACTTTGTCATTGTAAACATATGCCTCTGCTGGTTTCCCAGAACACCACGTTGCTTCTCTTCAAAATATGACTGTCAAGACGTTTGGCTTGACAGAGTAGATAGATTTTGTTTAATTATTTCATGGTAACATGTTTATTTTAAAAACCAAATCTGTTATTTTCGCATAAGTAATACATTAACAAATTCCACAAGTGCCAAAAAAAAAAAAAAGTCTAAATCCACTGCCATGAAGTTGTTTCTGACTCATAGCAACCCTTTAAGGACAGAGTAGAACTGACCTACAGGGTTTCCAAGGCTATAAATCTTTATGGAAGCTGACTGTCACATCTGTCTCCTGCAGAGTGGGTGGTGGGTTCGAACTGCTGACCTTGTGGTTAGCGGCTGAATGCTTCAACCACCAAGCCACCAGAGCTCCTTTCCACAATTAATAATTAAAGAATCCCTGTCCTGCTCCTTTCTCCTAAGTACCTAACTCTGTCCCTGGGGGCAAGTACTCTTAAGCTTTTTTGTGGATCCTTGAAGATGGAATCAGTGCAAATATTAAGATCTTAAATTTTTAAAATCAAAAGTGTTTTAGCATAGTAACTTTTGAAGGCTCTTAGAAGCTCTGAAATAAGCTGCCATAGTTTAGTTACAATTATATTAAAGTGAGTAAAGATCTTATTTCTATGTATTTTGCTCTAAGAAAGCAGATGTTGTTGTTATATGCCGTCGAGGTGGACCCGACTCATAGCTACCCCTCCTTGGGTTTCTGAGGCACTATCACTATAGAAGTAGAATGCCCCATCTTCCTTCTGAGGAGGGCTGGTAGGTTTGAACCGCCAGCCTTCTGGTTAGCAGTCAAGTGCCTTAGGCACTACAGTACCAGAGCTCCTGAGATAGCAGATAGTCATTGATTTTCCAGTAACAAACTCACTGCTCACAAGTTTGGATCTTGGCGTTTCTGGTCAGATGCTTCGGTGAAAAATCCCCTGAAGTAAGATGGTCCACAAGGAGTCGGGAGAGCGCCTGTTCTGTGTTTGTGGCTCTCACTGTCTCTCTCGTGGAACTGGAAGGTCACGGCCCTGCGTGGGCTGCACTTCCACATCTGAGTGGCTGCTCTCTGCTCAGCAGATAGGGTGCAGGTGTTCGAGGCGGGACTGGCTGCACATGCCGCTGGGCTGGCATTGGCCTGGCGTGCATGCAAGGCTCAGAGCTTGGAGAGGGTCCTGACGGTCATTATGAGGTAATTGTGCTTGTCTTTGGCACTTTTCTCTTTCTTCTCCAGAGTCCCACCCACTACTCCTTGACTTTACTCATTCATCAGTCAGTGTTTATCGAACATTACTGTCTGCCAGGCACTGTCCTTGTTACAGGGCTCTCTGCCCTGTGGAGTTTTCATTTTGGTGAGGAACACAGGGAGTGAGCATGGCATGGAAGTAAAACACACAATGTTAAATAGTGACAAATGAATAGGGGACCGTAAAGAAGCCTAGGGGACTAGGGCATGACGACGTTGTAGATTGGGTGTCCAGGGAAAGTTCACTGAGCTGAAGGCTTTTGAAGAAAGACTGAAGGGAGTCGGAGAGAACAGGTAGAGACTGTAGCACGGGGTCACCTGGGCTGGGTGAATTGAGTGAGGGGGAGGCAGAAGTAAGTAAGCTCAGATAGGTAGAGAGGGTGCCATGTCCCATCAGTAGGACCTTCTTTGTAAGCGGAAATGAGGGCATTACTGTTACTTGTGGGTGTGCAGGGAAGCCGTTGGAGGGTTTGACTGGAAGAATTGGCGTGATCCGAGTTCCTTTTAACTGAACACTGAGAGCAGAGTGAGGAGAATATGAGCAGGAGGCCAGGTGGGAAACTCTTGCTGTGATCAGTGAGAGAGGAATGGTTCCTTGGGATTCAGTGAGTGGATCCTGTCAGGGATCAGCAGTGGGCAAGTGAAAAGGGACTAAATTGTGGAGGCAGAGCCGGTGGGATTTGTGGGTGGTGCTAAGATCACGTATTTTAGCTGTGGTTAGTTGGTAACATCAGTTGGGATCACATTCAGCTGCAAGTAAGAGAAAGCCCTGGTGCAACAGCTTCAACAGTAAGAGTTTAGTATAAGAGAGAACGAAATCTGTTTGAGGATGTTCAGCTGTAAGCTTGAGGACCCAGGTTCACTCTCATTTACCTTGCAAACCTTAGTCCTCATTCTTGCTCCTCGTAATCAGAGTGTTGTTGTTGTTATGTGCCGTCAAGTCAGACCCAACTCATAGCGACCCCTTCCTTGGGTTTCCGAGGCAGTATCACTACGGAAGTAGATTGCCCCATCTTCCTTCCGAGGAGTGGCTGGTGGGTTTGAACCTCCAGCCTTCTGGTTAGCAGTCAAGTGCCTTAGGCACTATGCTACCAGAGCTCCCTGTAATGAGAGTAGGGCCACCATACTTCAGGGTCTCACATCTGGGGTCCAGCAGGAAGAAGTGGGTCAGGTGACGGCGTGAAGGGCAGAAAGACTTCTTCTTAGGACAGCTTTGCTTTTGCATTCAATCATCCATTCAGTCCACATTGACTGAATACCTGATTTGTGCTACTCACTGTTCTGGCGTGTGAGGCTCCAACAGTTAACCAAAAAGGGATTGCTTTAAGTCTGTAGATCAATTTGAGGAGTGTTGCCATCTCAGTTAACTGCTTTTAAGTTTTTCCGTCTATGAACATGGTATGCTTTTCTGTTTAATCAGGTTTTCTTTAGTTTCTGTCAGCAGTGTCTTGTAGTCTTCAGAGTATGTCTTTTGCCTCCTTGGT